TATTACACGATCGATGTACAAAAAAGGTTTTTCAAATGCTTCGTGTCGTAGATAGTTTCACGATTACAGAACGCATCTGTCTATCCATTAATAACACAGTATGTGGAATTACCGATCGGGATTTCGCATAATTAGACGGCAATTAATTATTCCATCTTAGTATTTCACCATGGTATCTTTAAAATAACGACGCGACTTGAAGAGCTCGAAAGATGAGGCTGAGCGCGTTGCGAAAGATCGTCGTTAACTTACTTAGTTACGCCGTCTCGCCCCGCAAATTACAGCGCGACCGATTATAGCGTTCACCAACGTTTGCGCGTAGCGGTGGGGTATTAACCCCTTCAGACCTAGTGTCCAGTAGACGTGTATTTTTCTTATTTACTGTGCGAACATATAGTTCCCAAGGCACCTGACACAGTTCACGGACGCGTTCTAAGTTATTACTGTGATTATTTGATGCCACGTGTCTTTAGACATATAATAAAACCTGTTTTTTAAATACTAATATGATACAATAAGAAAAAGAAGGCCAAACGAGCGAATTAATGGATGTTGATTAAAAAGTAAACTTTATTATAAAATATTAAAGAAACATTTTTTTTTTCGACTCAGAGAGTACATTAGAAATATTTTTTTCAGAGTTTTCCTTAGCCAAATAATAAATACGTAAATAAAATAATAATTTAAAAGGCGTCCATAGAAATCGGTAGATCGTTAAAAGTTATAAACGGTTATTTTAAACTAACGAAAGTTACAAAGATAAAATCTAAGTAAATACATTATATGTACTTTGTTGTATTGCTTTGTAAAAACGAGGTATAAAATTATATCCACTATATTTTTTAAATAAAATAGATAAAATATGACAATATAATAATAATGAATATATTACAATGCAGTGCACACTTAAAGATGAAACAAGGAAAAAAGAAAAGATAAAAAATCTTGCTGCAAAAGAGCTGCTAGTTATTATATAACTTCCTACATATAGTTTTTCATTCGTTAAATATTTTTTATATAATTGTAGAAAGAGTATACGTTTAAAAATATTAAAGTATTTTGTATTCTAATATTTTTAAATGCTATCTACTCGTTTTACGATTACGAAGTACTTTAGTAAATAGTTATTTGTAGATAGATTATACTTAATAATCATTATTGGTACAAACACGTTAAACAAAAAGACGTTTAAAATAATATGTTCATAAAAATAATTCGTTAGTTTTATATAAGATTCTTTAATTTATTCTTCTTTTTATATATATATATTTTTTAATAAGCGATGATTCAAAGTGTCCACGGTGTTATGTAACACGCATCGGACAGCATGCAGAAAATGTCAGGTCGAAGGAAAATATAGTAATTATGTCGGATTACTCTCAGTTTTGCACAAACGCGAATAATAGCAACCTGTTAGATAGATTTGTTGGTGCCGCGGAAGCTATTGTTTGCATAGTATTAAAATTAACTATCCCCTAATTAAAGAGTCAAGGCTCATCTGAACTTGAAATAAGGTCACATAATTCCGTAATTACGACTGAAGTGTTTTGAGCCATAAAAAGCACTTTATTAGCGATCTTCTTGATGTGCACTCAAGTAGAGTGAATCGAAATAGAAATATTGACTGCAAGTCAATAGAGTCTATTTGACTATATCTAATAATTGCAAGATTTTTTCAAAGTCTCACTTTATATGAAATATATTAAAATTGTTAGTTTTTGTAAAAAAACACTATTACATTCATATTACCAAATTATGTCCAATTGAAATAGTTTCTAATTATTTCTATAAGTCGCCACTGCTCTTATTTGTCGTATAATATATCGTTAGTTTAACTAAATAATAAAGTTAATCGATTTAACTTAAGAAAATGTATTAAATTTGATTTAAATTTAGTTTATTATTTACTAAGTGCATACGTTAATATAAATGTTGTTTACTTTGAAACTAACTTGGAAATAAATTAATTTACATTTTGATAGGCATGAAAATTATAAATAATAAAATATTATTTAACTTAAGGGTTTGTGTTGCCGTTACTTCCTTAATACTTAACATAATAAACGACTATATATAAATAACATAATATACGACTCGTATATAAAATACTATTTATTATTTTGGTAATTGAGTAGTTAGATCGATGTTAGATCTAACTTATATCTATGTATCAATTTTTAATTTTAATGTTTCGCCAGTTGAGCAGTTTGATACTATAGAATCTTTTGATACAGAATACTCCACTCTTAAGAATTGGCATTCCAATTCTTAATTCTAACGTTAAACATCTAGATCATTTGGTCCGAGTGCCATTTGAACTTCTACACTGAAAAAAATTTTGTTCATTTTGGTCCAATGAATGATCGTTAATCAATGTCCGACTTAATGTCCGACTTAATGTAATTAATGCATTGATACAATAATTGGATTCATTTATACAACTATATATTCATTCTTGCAATGAATTCTAATAGTTTTATAATCTAAATTATTATGAGAATTCATTGGACCAATTTTCATTATTTTTTCATAATTCAACAAATATTTTATTGTATTTACGTACAGTTTTGGTTCAGTGTAGCTATAGTATTAAATTTTTCCAGGCAGTAATCTTCTAGAACGTGGATTTAATATCTAATCATGCGTTCACGAGTCAAACGCTACGTGTAAAATCACAGAGAATCGGTGGAGTGTACTTCTAAGAAATTACAATGTGGACTTTTCCGCACACGAGATTCACTTGACAGTACTCGAGCAAAAAGTTCCGCGTATTCATAGAAAAACGTAATCCTGTATTTATCTTTTAAATATGGATGTCTCTCGAAGATCTATTAAAAAAAAAAACACATACAAAATTTTGTTGGGCGCGTAAATGATTTTTTATTTTTATTTCATTTTCGTTTTTTCCTATTTTTCTTTATCTTTTTGCATCTGAATGTTGTCACTTCTTTCTTTTAAATTTAAGTATTCATCGCCGCTGACCAGTCAAATTAAAGAAACTTGAGAGACGAGATAATGTATAACGTCGAACGTCGGAAGGAGAAGTCTCTTTTAAAAACTCGTAGTTTTCCTAGCGTTAACCTAGATTTATGTCCTCGATCGCCTACCATTACGATGTTCTCGGCTGGCGATTGTCGATCATGAACGCAGTAGCGGAAATTGAAACCGGGTTATTTTTAGTAGACCTCTTTCTCGATCTCTGCGAGATTCTGCGGTATCCTATTACAGCCTTTCTGTAGCGTTCATTGATCTTCGCAGAATTTCGTATGTTAAATCGCTTCATAACTGCAAATTAATAATAAATTTCGTATGTTTTGAGAGAAAGAGAGAGAGATTTTAATGCGTGGGTAAAATAGCGGTAATACCAGTTGATGACAGCAAAGTCTGTGACATGTGGAACACATCGCTATGAATCTTACAGTAGTATGCAAATATTTTAAATGGTAATTTTTGTAACATAACGAAGACTTGCAACATCTTCTAAAATATTTTTAGTATAAATCTTTTAAAAAATTCATAATTTAGAACTTAAAAGAGAGAGCCTCTTGCTTTTAATTTGTAATAAGAGAGTTTGTGAAATGATACCTATGGTGTCGTTAAAAGAAATCAACTTTCGAGTTGAATTTCGTGTATATTGAAAAGCCTACGACATTTTTGTGTCAAGCTCTAGAATATACTCGTCGCATCGACGAACCATCCGAAAGTCTATAAAGCATGTAACGTTCAGGAAGACAATCGCTGTGCTCCACCTACACAGTCCTCGAATTGCTATTATTGCTTGCCAAACTAACTTGGAGGTAGGCCGAGTAATGGGGAAGCGCGGAAGGAAAGGATTCGCGATTCCACACACGTGGGGGGCTTCACACGGGGAGGTGGGAATCGAGAAGGAGGATTTATCATAGGATAAGGCGTGATGGAGAAAGCGAGAGGAGGCGATAGATCGTGGTGGTGGAGGCGCAAGAGCGCATGAATATACCGGGACCTGCGACTGAATAAAAAAAAATACATGGAAGAAGGCACATTTTCAAAAGTATTATTATGGCGTTCGAAAGTTGTAGAAATTTGAATATTCCGAAGAGTATTTAATGTCAATTCGCTCAGAGATATTCAAATTTTTATCTATTTTTGAACTTTATGAGTTAAAATCAAATAAGTTACGTATTGATTTATTGTTTAAATATTTTATCCTAAAAATTTATTATAAGTCATCGTAAACTGTACTTGACAACACACAGAAAAGTGTCATTTTATTGCTAAAAAAAAACTAATTACTCAATTTACTTTCTTCCTTTTAAGTAACGGTTATCTTTAAAAAAGAATAGTTCTTAATAATACTCTTAAAATATAATTGTGTTACAAAGTATAAAAAATGCTCACTATTATGTATTTAAAATAAGAAATTAATTTTTTTTAAGAATATTATAAAATTGATCGAAGAAGCGACTTTATATAATAAGCAAATCGAATTTATTTTAATTTAATAATCTTGAGTTGAAGTATTAAACTCATTAGAATTTAGAATTTGTTTTGAATAAATTTGATGCTTGTGAACTTTATAATAGTTTTGCGGATATATGAACTCTTAAAATATTTGAAACAAGTAATTATTACTTTCGTGTAGTAGTCTTTTTTTGTGTGTAATTTATAGTCTTGCGTTAATTTTGACAAGAAAATTATCGTCCTATTTATTACAAAATTTCTATTAGTTTTGACTGTTTTTTATGTCATTTCGAGCACACTCATAGAACCGATATTTCAAACGGGAAAAGATAAAGATAAGGGAGAAAGATTAAAAAACGAATTCCATTCATAAAAGAAACAAAAGCAATATAGGGTCCGCGAGTGAGGTAAAACGTTCCTGTGCAACAGTCGCGGTAGAAGCACCGTAAGGGGGGCCGCGAAGAATGGTGGAGCAACGTCGTGAGTCGGTGCAGCAGCAGCAGTTGGAGCAGTAGTAGTAGTAGGCACTGAACGGGCGCACCGAAGGGGGCAAAGTGGAGCGTCAAGTGGGGACAGAAATAAATCGTTCACCTGAGTGTCGCGCCGCGGATCGGCGATCCCGCAGTGTCTCGGCCGATCTCACATCGATCGCATTACGTTCGCCAGATCGTCCACACTCGCGCGTAACACACACACACACACTCACACATACACACTCACCTTGAGGAACACACGTTCCCCGGTTCCGCTCGATTTTGTATCAATTCCATTCCTCTTCTTTTTTTTTTTTTTCCTTTTTCTCACTTTCTTCTCGGTTCTATTTTCCCCTTGATCTCTCCTGTCTGATCCCCTCGTTGATCTCTCCTCTCTTCGCCTTCTCTCTTCTTTTCCTATCTGCATCTCTACGTCCCTTCTTCTTCCTAGATCGCATGCCTCTTCCTCGCCGAGGTACATCATCATCGTTGATCGTTCCACGATCGTTCCCACGATCACTGTCGCGACCACCAGCGATCGAAGAGGCAGCAGTCAGTAGTCGTCGCGTGTATTCCTACTCGTCTCGTGCTCAAATCAGACACCTCACGAGCAGTGAGTCGGGAACAGAAACCGCGCGATATTGATTGATACCACCGTGAGAGATCGTTCGGCCGTGAACGTGAAGGATCCATGGGACAGTGTCCTGACTTACGAGAAACGTTTCCTCGGGCGACGAGCAAAAACGACGACGAACGATCGGCGCGAGTAAAAAAGAGAAGTAAAAGCGCGCTATTTTTTTAATATACCCGGATCGTACCAGCATCTCCGGTACGTAATAACGGCCGACGATCCGACCGGCACACTTAGCGCAACACGAGAGAAGGACCGACTTTCTCCAGTTGGCAGTCAAGCCGCGCGCGCAAGCCAACGCTTCGAGGTCGCCGCGAGAAAACGCCGCGTGCCGCGAGGACGAGGTGGATCGTACGCGTGAGTCGTTGAATGAGGTTTCGAAAGAATCCACTTTGACAAGTCGGTTGTTACTCGTGCATGACGCAGCGTGCCGCTTCAAAGGCGTATCCAGACGCTGTGGAACACTGGAGAGAGGAGGCAGAAAGAAAACACGCGTTTGCGCTTCGCGCCTCTTGTGCTGTGATCTTGGGGTGAACGCTCGGTGAACGCCACTCAGAATGAGGGTGCATCGCGGGATCTGCGCCAAACTGCAGGGCGGTTTCCTCAGACGATGGTGTACGTACAAAATATTTAATCCGTTCGATCGTCACACGAATCGATCGTTTTAGTGTGGAAGTTACTTGAAAATCTTCGCTTTGGCTTGAAATTTAAAGAAACTTTTGGCACCGTTAATGTAAACATATTTTATCACATCTGTATACACTGATGAGAGAAGGTGTTTAATATTTGTGACTATTTGCATGGTAAAGATAATTTTAGTTGAGAGCTCCATTTTTATGATTATTAGTGTTATTACGGTTAGGATATTAACGATAATAATCATTTGTGTATAAAATACTCTCAAACATGAAAAAATGTTCTATAAATTATGATAATTTCGAATATTAATATAGTAAAATATCAATTAGGATGTAAATGATAAATAAAATAAACATTATTCAGTAAATGCGACCACAATTATAGTCAATATAATTATTTTTTAAATTAATTTATTACTTATGTGATAATAATAACTAAAAAATATAATATATAAAAAAAAACTAAAGATTCTCAAGCAGTGTGTGCGAATATTATTAATGGTATAATTGATTATATTTGCATGGTTAAAATAATTATAAATGTATAGTAGTTACAAAAAGTGGCTATAAATTATAATTAAATTATAATTAATAAATTAGTTGCACTCTATTTTTTTCTCTTAATGTATGCTTAATTTATACGAATCCTTTCTGTAAAGAATTGTCTTTCGTAGAGTACCTACTTTTTATTTATTATTTTTGTGTCAAATTTTGAATAAAATTAGTAATTATATTAATTACTGAAAATAATCAATTGTTAACGTTTGCGTTATTCGAATACAAATTTTTCTAGCGCAAGCTGTAAAAATTATCGAGTTATAAAATTTCAACAATTAAATATTCTCTAGCTAAACTCTGATAAAAACGAATTGAAAGTACATACATACATACATAATCTTAATTAAAAAAAATATTCAGTTCGATATTTTAAGCGTCTGTTGCATACTTCTAAAATGCATTTACCTTGGTTACCAATAAACAAAACATTGCGCGAACATGATAAGCAATTGGATCAACTGGATGTCGAAAAAAAAGTGTCATGTATACTTATATTGCATACCATGCGTTTATAGCCGAGATATTCAAAGATGTTCACATTGTTTACACATCAAGTGTGCATATTTGACGATTAAATCGCGTAATGTGACCGATGATTACTGATGACGAATCGATCGATCAGACATCATAGTAATACGTATTCAAACAACGATAATGAAATCAACATAAAAGAGTTCTGCTGCAGATTTATAGGTAATTCTTAACACACATTTGAATTTCTTTCAATAATCCTTGTTGAATTGTTTAAAACGTATTTAATAGTAAACAAATATTATACGATCAATTTGATCGAAAGTCAAAAGTTACAGGCAGTGTAAAAGGTTTCGGTTTGTGTAATGTCAAACATTGTTAAAAACATTACTATGCTTTCTTTAATATTATCCATATTTTATCGAAATATTAGTCCATGATATAAAAAAGATTTACAGTAAAATTTTATCATGGCGTAACTAAACTACTTTAGGTGATCTTTAAATTTATATTACAATTTTAAAAAATTATAAAATTCTACTTATAATTTTATGTAATCGCATAATATGAAAAATATTTTAAGAGAGACATAGGGAATACTTTCGAACATGCTCAAAATTGCACAATCTTTGAATGACCGTAACTCGGTGAAAAATCATCATAGATAAAAAAATGAAAAAGCATTTTAAAGCTTGAAATCTCTACATTTGAAATCGGTAATTGATATTTCGATATGACAGATTTTTTTGGGGAGTTATACGGACACAAATGGATATCCGTCAAATCTGAAAATTTTATACAAATTTACAAAGTTCCATGGCATGAACTAAAAATCACACACAAATGCAGTTTACAGCATTCGAAAGAGTGAATCTTTACCTTCAATTTGTTTTTTTATTGAACATGATACGATTTTTTTTCACCGAGTTATTGAACGTTGAAGCAAAAGTGGTCGTTTTTGCTTCAATGTTAAAGAACTCGGTGAAAAAAAATCGTATCATGTTCAATAAAAAAACAAATTGAAGGTAAAGATTCACTCTTTCGAATGCTGTAAACTGCATTTGTGTGTGATTTTTAGTTCATGCCATGGAACTTTGTAAATTTGTATAAAATTTTCAGATTTGACGGATATCCATTTGTGTCCGTATAACTACGTAAAAAATCAATCAGATCGAAATATCAATTACCGACTTCGAAAGAAGATTTCAAGCTTTAAAATGCTTTTTTGTTTTTTTGTCTACGATGATTTTTCACCGAGTTACGCTCATCCGAATGTTATGCAATTTTGAGCGTGTTCAAAAGTGTTCCCTATTTTTTGTTGAGTAGTGTATTTGTAATGGATTATGAATTGAGAATTTAGTCGAGTTTATAATACATTAAAATAATTCTATCATCGTTAAACTTCATGAGATGTCTTAATCTCTAATTATGATTTATTTTCGAATGATTAATGATTTATCATCCTTGTGTCACGATTATTTTGAAAAGGATAAATCATTAATTTCTTCAATTTACTCATTTCTTTTTTAGATTTTTGTCGCAAGTGGATTCTTATTTTTCAAATCTTGTTTTCTTTCGCTGATACATTTCTTGTTATGCGGTTCGCCGCGTTTAAGAACAGGAATCGAGAATCTGAATCGTCCCAGAGAGTAATTAATTCGATCGTTAATAACAGTCGTTCCGAGAAAAAATTATATAATTCATCTTTGCAGCAGTCTTTATTTCACCGATCCCCAAAATTATTTACATGTTTTACTGATTTCGCAATTTATTGCGTCTTTCCACCGGCGTGGCACGCCACATTCGAGAACATGAATGGAGATGTCTGGACCGGGAGGCTGCGATTAATACGATCATCGCGAGTAATGTCACGGCTCTAGTCGTTGCTCTTAATTTGGTTCAATGGATGTGTCATCGCGCGCACGGTCGACCACACTGAATCATTGCGATGTATTCAGTCTGACGTTGCTTCACCTCGTGCCTTTTTCAGTATCGATGCATTGTCGACTATAAAACTCGACGACGATGAAACGTTGACACCTTAAGGACCAGTGTTGGATCTTATCTAGATAAAATTATCTAGATGATCATCTAGATGAAATTTTGATGTCATCTTATCTTTATCTAGATAATAAAAATAATTATCTTTATCTGTATCTTAGATGAAAAAAAGTATCATCTTTATCTAGAATGACATTTAGATAATTTAGTTTACATTTTACATTGCTGAAAATGTGCTGAATATTGAAATATTCGCTTTTATGTAGTTCATGTTTGAAGAAAAAATTTTAGCCTCAAGGAGAAAGTGGGTGCATCCAGTAGTAGATAGGTCTGTTCGCGTTGCTTGCACTTTGTGTATTCGGCACCTTCGCTGTCTCTCTTTTCAAGGCCAAATATATGTATATCTATCTTATTTTAAGTGCAAAAATATTTGGGGATTTCATGCAACGCAAACAGACTTTATATAATTACTCACTTGCACTCAAGTGATTTGAGAGTTGATTGTGTATCTTGAAATGAGGAGAAAATTACAAAAGTGAGCAATTCACTAAATATAATAATTCACTAAATACCAATTAAATTATAACTATTCTAGTGAATTTGCACTTTTGCAATTTTTACCTTATTTCGAGATACACAATCGATCCTCTGTTTTTTATTTTTGCATTAAACGTGCTGAGAGTGTAGTGCATAGAACTCTCTTTCTCTCTTTCGCCAAATATCAAACATATATATATAATACCTATCTCATTTTCCAAAAGTGTACACTAGTTCAACCACAGAAAAGGCAAAACAAATGGCAAAATCATATATTTTTATTAACTATGAGTAATAATGAAATTAAAACTAATAAGTTATAGACTCCTTTAATTGATACGACAAACAGTAAAAAAATTTATATAAAAGGCTATAAGAGTCTACCTCTGGCTGTTAAAAATTTCGAGATATACATTTAATTAATAATATATGATTTCGTACGTTTCGACTCCTGTTTGAGTCATCTTCAGCGTTACAACTTTTTAATATTACAACAATTAATATATCGCAGTCAATGTCTTCAAAATTTTCTCTCCTTTTGCATGTAACCGTTGTGGATAAAAACTCAAGCAAAAATTTAAAAGAATCGTTGAAGAAGGTGAATAACATAGAGGACAACAGAAATAAAAATTGTGCTCACCTCACGGAGTCAACAA